CACATGCATGTTAAGGCATTTGGACGATCCAACTCGAAATAGCATGAATACTAAGCTAGAAAATCAAGTTAGGAAGATTACCTTCGATTTTTGAGGCTTGAAAGTGGTGTTCTTGAGCCAAACCCGATTTTTAGAGAGAGAAAGTAGAGAGAGAAAGCTCCAAGGTGGAAAAGGCTCTAAAGGTGGACACTCCTCCTTTATATATGGCTGCCTAGTGGGGACCCACCATACACTGTCGTTTAAACGGAGCTACATGTTTTTACCGGGTAAACTAACCGTAACCCGACTTAGTTGTTTTTATCCCGTCATTATATATTATTTATTTTAATAACTCAAAATGAATTATTTTAATAAATAAAAGTTAACGGAAAATTTTAATAGAACTAACTTTTATTAACGGAAATGGGTTACAATGACGGAGTAAATTTCGGGTTGTCACACAGGGGTTAGATCCACTTCCCGACCCACCAGAGCCGCCAGGATTCATCTGTGACATTGCGGCAGCCACAGCGGTTGTACCTGCTGTCTGGAACATAACAGGATCGAACTGAGGAGGTGGCGGTGGTGGGGGATCATTGTTCTTTCTGTTGGGTCTCTTCCTGGGAGGCATCTTTCTCTAAAATATATAAGGGAAAATTACGATAAGCCTTCCATATTGATCATGAGTCGGATACTTTCGAACAAAGTATATCTTAATCTTACAGTGTTAACAGAGATCTACAATAAAGGTTTACTAACATAAACAAGGAATTGCAGGTCTTTCATTTGTGAGGATTAGTATTACTTGTAACATTTCTGTGCAGTGTTATGGAACTATAAAATACTCCTATGTATTTTAACTATGTGCTTCATTAGTATAGAATTTGGTGAGTTTTAGACTTGTCACAACACCATAGTCACTCCCAAACACATGTTGGTCATATCTCGGACAAATATAATTGATCAGGTTATATTGGCCCCACATATGATTACATAACTATTCAGGTTTAACCGTAGTGTCCGACTCGCCCTAAATACTTTTATGTAGTTCTTACTATGATACAGCTTCTAGTATGTATGTATACTTGTATACTTCTTTATAAAATACTTAAATTTTAAAAGTATACTTTTAGTTTCAGAGCGCTTCGACCCCTTTTTAGTGTTTATAGTTGTATACCATGTAAGGTACGGTATACTTAGTTCACTATCAACAATAACTCTAATACCAATCTATCACACCCCCAAACCGAAACGATAGAAACGTTCGGGGGTGGAGGACGTCATGTATAGTATCACAACAATTGCATCATAGTAATCAAAGTAAACACAACCATTACATTAGATAAGAAAAATATTTACATCTGTTTGATACATATTTGTATACATCAAAAGTATAACAAAATATAAAAAGACGTGACTCTCTATACGCTTCGTCTTCTCAAAAGCTACGGGAGTACCTGTCTATTGATTTCCTGAGAATACAAGCGGTTTTGGAAAGAGTATCAACATTAAAGCTGGTGAGTTCATAAGCATGTTTTTCTAACGAAAACCTGTTAATGAATCAGTGAAAATGTTTGCATGTTTCCAAGAAAATCCAATATTTTCTAACATATGAGTTTGTTACAGTGTTCCATAAAGTATTAGTTCGAATGCCTGTTTACCACTAGATGGATTGTATAATACTGTTTTGAAAGTAAAACCCTTTTTGTATGAAAACCCTGGCTATCACCAGTATGAATAGAATGTTTTGTTGGAAAACCATGGTTGCCCCAGTATGTAAAGTAATTTCATTACTTTAAATAAAACCATGTATTTTATCCCCTGGAATCCTCCAGTATAATGTATAGTAGTTCTATTAATTAAAATAAAACTAATGAAGAATGAAATCTCGTAAACAAAGGTTAGTTTATACTATTGTGAGTCGTATAACCATGCTTGATATGACCTAGTGACCTTTACGACGTTCTTCAAGTGTCAGATATTATGACATTTGTCACCTCAGGCATGCCTGCCTAACTGTAGCTAGCAGTTCAGGTGTGGGATTGTCAGTCCCGAATAGATCTATTCATAAATTTCATACCTCTCCCTCCAGGAGACTCTGGTTATACTATGTTAGGATTTAGTTCAGTACCCTGAAGGGGTACAATTTGAAGTAGAGTCTCACAATCATGTATTACTAGTTTACGTGTTGTTTAGTATTGTTCTCTCGTACTTGAATATGAATGTATGTCTTGTAGAGTAAAAATAATTAAACTTAAATAATTATTTTTAAATGTACTCTTATTATCCGAAAGATAGTAATGTATATCATAAACTAAGTCTGTCATAGTTTATATGTTTGTTAATGTATAAACTCTGAAATTGTAAAACTGTGTATTGAAATCCCAAACTATACCTATTATAGTTCGCATGTGTGTAAAGTACCCGGTTCATGTATTGTTCTGAAAACTATGCAATTGTAGTTGTGAGTTGAAAACTTCCCTTATGCTCAGCATGGTACAAAAGGGATAAGATATCTAAACATTTTGTAAAAAGGTGATAATCTTTTGATTGTGTCAATTGCATAAGTTTTTAATCCTGTTTGAAATTTTGTGCATAAAGTTCACGAAAAACCATTTGTATTTGACTTGTTCTCCCCCTAAAAACGAGAAAATAATTAAAAGCGTAGGGGTATGAACTCACAGTTGGTTGCGTGAATGTGCCGGACAACGAGACTGGAAGCGAAGACCCTCGAGTTGATATACGCGACACTTAATGGGATCCTAATAATAATTAAATACATATATGCGTATTATTAGTGAAACCATTAAGTATAGTGTTGGTAAACACTTGTTTTTCGTTAAGGAATGTTACCGGGAATTGATTGAATCGGAAAAAGCGGGTTTTCAGCCAAGTTCACGACTTTGGAAGGTTTGCGGCCATGAAGGGTTTCCAGCCGTGAACTATTCTCGGCCGTGAACTGTTCTCGGCGGTGAACAGTTTACTGTCTTTGAAGGGTTTACGGCATTTGAAGGTTTGAAGGGTTCACAACCTGTTCTTGAGGAAATATGAAGATTTGAAGGGTTTACAACCATGAACTCAAGAACAGCAATGCTTGATTTGATGAAAACGGATGTTCTGTGTATAAAGTTCACGAAAAACCATTTGTGTTTGACTTGTATTCTCCCCCTAAAAACATGAAAATAATTAAAAGCACAGGGGTATGAACTCACAGTTGGTTGCGTGAATGTGCCGGACAACGAGACTGGAAGCAAAGACCCTCGAGTTGATATACGCGACACTTAACGTGATCCTAATAATAATTAAATACATATATGCGTATTATTATTGAAACCATTAATTATAGTGTTGGTAAATACTTTTTTTGGTTAAGGAATGTTACCGGGAATCGATTGAATCGGAAAAAGTGGGTTTTCAGCCAAGTTCACGACTTGGGAAGGTTTGCGGCCGTGAAGGGTTTACAGTCGTGAACTATTCTCGACCGTGAACAATTTACTGTCTTGGAAGGGTTTACGGCCTTTGAAGGTTTGAAGGGTTCACGACCTGTTCTTGAGTAAATATGAAGATTTGAATGATTTACGGTCGTGAACTCAAGAACAACAATGCTTGATTTGATGAAAAAAGGCATGTTTTGATGCTCCAAAACGAGTTCCAAGGCGGATAGAGTGATAGATGAAGAGAAATCTTGTGTGTTCGGGTGATGATTTTTAGAGAGAGAAAGGGTGTTCGCGGCCAGAAAAGTATAAATGAGGGGTAGGAGCACATATTTATAGGGGGTTTCACGGTTGGTGGTGGGGTCCACCAGCCGTGAACGGGTTTACGACCGTGATCGGGTTCACGGCCGTGAACACCGGTCAGGCCGATTTTCGATGATTTTCGAAGTAACTCGGGTTTTCGCGCGATTTTGGTTCCGACTCATAAAAGAAAATTCAATTATATAACTTAAATGATTTTCCAAACCATAGGAATTTGACGGAACTAAACAAATACTCAAAATTTATTTAACGGAATCGGCTAACGTTAACGGAAAAAGGTTCGGGTTGTCACATATATGTATAATATTCTGTTGGAATATTACTTTGTAATTAGATGATATAGGATTTTTGGATTTTTGTGGTATTACTAACATTTACGACTGATGTAATGAATTAGATAATGAATCTGATGAAGAAATCTATGTAAAAGAGAGAACCGATGATAGAAAAGGAGTAAGAAAGATTAAAGAAGCAAAAAGGAAGAGGAATAGTGGGGGCAATCGTACAACAATAAAGAAGCAAAAAACTGTGAAGGAGCATAAGACTATGAAAGATATATTGAAGGAGTTGCCTTCAATAAACACTATATCGACACCTGGATTGATGACAAATGTTGTAAGTTCTTTGACATCAGAATAAAAAGATTGGGTGAAACGGATGGGATTTAAAGCATTTTTGAAGATCAAAATTAAGAGTATTCCCTTAAAACTTTGCCATTTTGTGCTTGAGCATTATGACGAAGGCACAAACAGTATTCTGATTAAAGGAAAAAGAATAAAGATCACAAAGGAAAAAAATTCATAAAGTGTTCGGTTTACCCAAAACTGGAAAAAGCTTATTTGACTTGGATTTGGTTAGCGAAGATCATCAAGTGTTTGATGGATGGATGAAGGAACGTGAAGGTGGAAAGGCACATGCAACAAATTACAAGAAGATTATTCAAAAATCCGAACAAGTGGATATGAATTCAAGCTGAGTTTCATAGCTTTAATTGTTAATACCTTTGCAAAATCCATTCCTATGGGGACAAACAACTTAGTTCCAGTTAGAGCACTTGTTGAAGTAGATGGCATTTCTAAAATCGATTGGTGTGCGTATTTGTTGTACTGTGTGAAAAATTCAAAAGGGAGATGGCGTCCAAACAACCCCAAATGTTATTACAGAGGACCGATGTTGTTGCTATTGGTATGTTTTTTCATGTACTTATTTTTTTCTTAATAATGGATATCTAATATGTTGTTTAAATAATGTTGCTAATTTACTGCGATGAAATTGAATGCAAGCTCCAAAAAAATAGAACGTAAAACACCATTAGTTACGATGTGGACATCAGATAAGTTGAAGGAAAGACAATCTTTTGATATTGAAGCTGGTGGATTTGGGGTTGGAAATCTAATTGAATTAAGTTCAAATTTAGTAGGTGAGAAGAATGAGAATCAATATAATGAGAATCAGGACACACGTATTGAGGTATATTCTAAGTAGAATGTATTATTTAATTATGTTTTAGAATATAATTTAATTATGTACTAATTTAATGTAAGAAAAATATTCTAATGTCTTTTTTTTCCTAGGAGTATGAAGAAAATCATGAAACAATTTTCAACAATGTCTCAACTAAAAAGGATAATATGGAAGATATTATTTTTCATTTTCTATCGAAATTCCCTAAAGACAATAGAACGAAGGAGATGATAAGGAAGTTTAGAGACATATTTTCAACTACACTTTTTTCTATTCGAGAAAAATCAGAAATTATAAAGGAGGGAACTGAAGTCAAAGCAGATAGAGTTGAAGAGCTTAATAAAACAAATAATTTTGATTTTGATGATGATAAACATGAAGGAATGAATACAAAGTTGGTTGAATTTGTAACTGTTAAACCATTACAACAGAAGTTTCCAGAGAATGAAGAAAGACAAACAAAAGATCAAGATATGAATATTGATGACCCGATAAATTCGCGTTTAGAGGGTAATATTGGTGAGGAAACTGTTGGACATTCGGACAATCAAGAAAGAAAAATAGAATTTGAAGACATAGTTGTAGATGAAAAAATAAATTTGGCTTTAGAGGGGAATAATATAGAGGAAACTATTGGAAAGAAGAATTTAGAAGGGAATGTTGAGTGCAAAATCTTGTTGAGGGTGGTGAAATGATTGGCGGGGAGAAGATTAGGGATGGGAATATTATAGAGAAGGTGGTTGAAGACAACACAGATGAGAGCTCAATTGTTACACCAAAACATGATCCAAAAGGTATATCTATTGATTTTACCCCTTGGTCTGATTCATTCATACAAAAATTAGCTGAGGATTTATTTAGAATATTTCCAAACAAAAATCCAGATCCAAATACAATTCCAATACTAATTGTCAAATCTTCTATTCCAAAAAACTAACATTTGAAAATTCAGAATTTCCTTCCTTTGATCTTCAAATAACCCAACTAATGAACGATGCAGAAACTGGTGTTAATTCTTAGGGTAATGATGAATATGGAGAGTTAGAAGGGAATGAAGAAAAGATTTTAGATTAGAAAGGGAAAAAGGGTCAGAATGTGGATGACAGAGGGAAAAGGAAGGTGACTAATCCAAATATTTTTAGATCACCTTTTGTAAAGTCCCAAATCTTCTTGTGTATCAATTAGATCCAATTGATGGTGCAGAATCCCAATCAATCGGATGTTGCCATATCAAAATAAGAAGAAGGAGAAGAAGAATAATATGAATCTATGATGTATTCAAGATTGGAATGATGAACAATATACAAGATTCACACACACTTGCACCTTCTCTCCTTTCTCTCTCTAGAACACCTTAGAATACACACTTAAGCTCCTCTCGACCGTACATTCCTCACCCACCTAACATCTATTTATATGGAACATGGGCCTTGAACAGGTTCACGGCCGTGAACCAGTTCACGGCCGTAAACACAACCTGGCCGTGAACACACCCGTGAACACATATTATATTACAGAAAACCCAATTGCCTAGAAAAGCAAAGTATAAACCAAATTTTTACCCAACAATCTCCCCATTGGTTTATAGATTTCTTTTCTAATTGACCCAACAAGCTCCCCCTAAAAAGTAGCTGGCTTTTCTCGTCAATCTTCATTTGGAGCTTGGCTTCAGCGTTTATCTTCGATTTCTTCACAACTTCAAGATGAACTTAATGAATCTTCAATAAATGACTTCATCTTGAGCAGTTGGGCTTTTCTTCAGAATTTGACATTGAACGCACGTTGGGTGAGGAGGCTTCTTGAAAAGATTCTTGAAAGATAGCGCTTTCAGCTTGAGAATCTTCAGAGAGAATATCAGAGAGAAATAATCTTCTGGACCACTTCAATGCAATCTGTCACATAATATTTCTCCTTCGAATGAGAATTCTTCGATGATCACGGATGAAGCCTTGGCTCAGAAAATCTCGATACAGTCTCCATGAGTCTCATCTACATCTGAATTCACTTTTCAAGACAAAACAAAACTAAAAGAAAATTTAGCACACAATATTTTTGGATTTTTCATATTTTCTGAAAATTAAAACATAATCAAAAATATTTTTGGATTTTTGATTTTTTCTGAACAAGAAATAAAACGGAAATAACACTATTTTTGGATTTTTAATTTTCTGATTTTTGTTTGATTTTTGAATTTTTTTTAATTCTCCCGCTAAATTTGTGCATAGATAAAAACTATGAACAAATTTAACAAAAACAAAAATAATTGGGATCAAAGTTGTGAGACAGTCTTAACTTTGTTTATCAGTACCTTCACCTTCATGAATAGATCTGGTCAATTGTTGGTATTGTGGTCCACTTAAACACGAAGGATATCGACAAGTTTTTCTAAATAAACCATTTAGCTGATGACGACCACGGGTATTGTTGTCCACTTAAATTAAGCAGCGAGATCTACAGACAACCTCTAAATGGTTTAATTTTAGGTGCACTAGAACGTGTTCCCCACTTCCCGATATACCCTGGTTATCAAGAACTCCTTACTTTAGGTTAGTAAACAATTATTAAGGAGGAAGTCAAATTTAGAGATAGATGCATATGTTGTGTCCCAGGTCGTATCTCTTTGAATCACGCAGAGGGGACAACATATGACTAACAGAGATAAAGGGTTATAGAGATAGTAGGGTGCATATGCTGTGTCCCAGGTCGAATCTTCCGATCATGCAGAGGGGACATCATATGGCTAACAAATAGAAATAGTTTCATAGATAAAGAGGTGCGTAGAAATAGAGTTGTATATGTTGCATTCCAGGTCGGATCTCTTCCAATCACGCAGAGGAAACAACATATGACTGACAGATACAAAGCAAGAAAATAATTTCCTACAGACCTACTTTATCAGAACCCCCCAGTCAACCTATCAGAACCAGAATTAAGGACATAATTCTGTACATCAAGGAAAGGTTGAACAACTGTTCTAGATGCGTATTAATTTAGTGTATCATGTGGGTTCCCGTGTTTATCTCACTGCTCAATCTACCTGAGCGTCGTATGGTCAGTCCAAACAATCATATCTAAATCCACACTGTCAAATCCTTCGTGCCTACCAGCACATTGAACACATAGTCTAGACAATTCAGATTCAGTCCCTTACACATGTTTTAGACTGCCCGTTATCACTTTATCTTGATATCACTTCCCAAAACAACACCTACAAACGAAAAACTATAAGAAAGAAAAGATTGTCTTTGAAAACGAATCAGTTTAAGATAAACTCAGGAGTATAGAGAAGAAAACTCAAACCGTAAGTCACAAATTGAATTTGCATCCAGAAGGTCTGAGAACATCACGCATAATCTCAGAACAGATCCGAAAATTATTCACATCGTTAACCATAAACCCCATGTGTGATCCTTTTATTTCTTCCCTTCTCCCGCAAAGGACACATACTCTCAAACAAAGTTCTGAGTGTTGTACAGTTGAGAGATGTCCCCTATCATGTGCCTGGAACAGTCACTACCAACAAACCGAAGTCTGATGATATGCCTCCATAGCTGCTCCAGAACAGAGCGGGATCAGTTGGTCTTTGGAACCCAATCCATTTTGAAACTGGGTTGACCTTTGTCATCTTTGCAAGGTACTCTCTCCTATAAAATATCTTGTTTATCACAAACAGAAGATGTAGAAATATTAGAATCATTAGAAGATTTGGGAGAGTGAACCTTTGGTACCCATTTGTAGTTGGGTTTAACCCATTTCTTATTCGAGCGGTTGGGTGCCTCGGCACTTGCTTTTGAACTTGAAGCTGGCCGCCGAGATGACTTTGACTTTTGCTTCTTGACCGGCATTCCCTTCTTGACCTTGGGAGATGGTTTATTGGCCTTGGGATTTGAATTCTTGGCCTTCTGTGTGTTCCAGTCACCATTGTCTGAACGTGACCTTGATGGGTTTCTTTTGGAAAATCTCCCACTTTGCACGTTCTGTGAGCCTTGTGCGTAGTAGGGAACGTATGCGCGATTTGAACAATTTCTGGCAATGTGTCCAGGTGTTCCACAGTGAAAGCAAGTCTTTTTCTTCACTGGGAAGTTGTTTCTTCCTGCCCCTGGTGGCGTGCCTTTGCCTCGCGTCTGGTTGTTCCCACATGCACACTTGCAGCAGGCACTTTGTTTCGCTTGTGTTGGTGGCCTGTATTTACCAATAGCAGGTTGATCAGAAGCAACTGAGTTCGAAGCAACAGATTCTGAGTTCAAGGAGTCATTGGTTTGTTCAATAGTGTTCTCCTTGTTCTCATCTTCCGCTACTTTACCTGCACATGTAACAGAATCATTAGAAACGTTCACCTCAACCTTTTCTGGCACAATCACAACAGGTTTCCCATATTGAAGATGTGCCTCCCTGTCTATTTCTTCCTGTGTCATAGGGATGGATGTGTAGTTATGATTGAAAGGAGGAGGAACACTATCATACCCTAGACCCCTTTTGTTGGTTATCTTTAAATTTCAAACAATTGTCAATCATGGACACAACTACCTCACTTGATACATCAAACCTCTTAAAGTTGAATTCAGCATCTTTATATTTTGCTTTTAACGCATCAAGTTCGGCAGTTACAGTGGCAAGCTCTTTTTTAACATATTTATAGTTTACGCATTTGTTGTTGTACTCTTCTTGCAATTTATCAAAATCACTAGTCTTGGTCTCTAGTTGTTCTTTTAATGGTTTCTAGCCTTTCCTAAGTTGGCACGCCTCATATTTAAGTTACTCATTTTCTCTTTTTAATAAATCGATTTGTTCACGAAGAAACTTAATAGTAGTTTCACAAGATGGAGTACATGAAACGTCATTGACCGGGAGGGATGCGGAACTCATTTTTATCAAAAAAAACCCTTTGACTAAAAACTCAAAAGTCAACCTCAAAAGTCAAATTTAAAAAGTTAAACTTAAAAGTCAAACTTAAAAAATCAAACTTAAAAGTCAAACTTAAAAAATCAAACTTAAAAGTCAAACCAAAAAGCTAAATTTGAAAATTTGAAAGTTAAACGAAAAAGCCAAAGTTTAAAGTCAAAGTCAAAAGAAAAATTTAAGTCAAAAATCAAAAATAAAAAACTATTTTTTTTTGGGTTGAAAATGAAATTTAAATATAAAAGAAATTGATTTTTAGGCTGAAAGTGTCAATATTGCGAAATTAGGATAGAAGTTGCGAGCCTTTATGAATTAATTCCGGAATGAGAATACCATCTAGCAAGCTAGATCAAGTGGAAAGCGTGTTGGTTGAGTAGGGAGGAGACCCGGGTTTGATCCTCCTCCACCCTAATGATTTTTGAATAAACACACTGATTCGAGGACGCTGCGTGCGCGTGCGAGGATGCTAGCCTAGAACGTCCGAAGCCGTGAAACGCTGCTGAGCCGTACACCGAGGACCGTGAACTCAGAGGGCCGCAAACTGTTCTCGGTCGTAAACGAACTTCGGGCTGTGAACCCTTCTTGGGCCGATAACCCTTCAAGGACCGTAAACCCTTCAACAGTTACGGAAAAAACGACGTTTTTCACACTTTTTGCTCCAAAACTCGATCAAAACCTCGTTTTTATCAAAAATGCAAAGAACAAACCCCCTATTTTGCCAAGATCTATCCAAAAACGCAGAAATCCTTCAAAAATAAGATCAAATACGCTCTAGATCTTTTAAAAATAATTGATACAACCTTGCTCTGATACCACTTGTAAAGTCCCAAATCTGCTTGTGTATCAATCAGATCCAATTGATGGTGCAGAATCCCAATCAATCGGATGTTGCCAGATCAAAATAAGAAGAAGGAGAAGAAGAATAATATGAATCTATGATGTATTCAAGATTGGAATGATGAACAATATACAAGATTCACACACACTTGCACCTTCTCTCCTTTCTCTCTCTAGAACACCTTAGAATACACACTTAAGCTCCTCTCGACCGCACACTCCTCACCCACCTAACATCTATTTATATGGAACATGGGCCTTGAACAGGTTCACGGCCGTAAACACAACATGGCCGTGAACACACCCGTGAACACATATTATATTACAGAAAACCCAATTGCCTAGAAAAGCAAAGTATAAACCAAATTTTTACCCAACAATTTTTGTAAATAGGGTAATTGACTTAAGTGAAAAAGTCAGTACTGGGCAAGAGATAATGGCTCAAATCATGTTTAGATGCGCTGGAGACAAAGATCCAATGTAAGTAAATTCATAATGTTTAGTAAAAATTCTTTATTAGATATGCATATTCTTGAAGGAATATTTTTATAAATTTGAGTATTGTGTAATATTCTTATTGGAATATTGTAACACTATTCAAAAGAATTATTATTCTAATTAATTTACATTAGTTTTAGTTAAATAATATATTTTAACTAAAATAGTATATTTTTGTTTAAAGGGAAATGTTGTTTGAAACCGAGTGTGGAGACATAATGGATAGGGTGCATTTTGAGGGTATGCGTCCAAATCATAAGATACATCCTTTCGTTATTGATTGTTGGGCTGCTATTCTTAATTTTGAAGAAGAAAACTTGAGAAACAAAAAAGCACCACCACGTGTCTTCTTCAACACTCAAATTATGGTACTTAATTGTTAAATTTATTTTCTATATTCTAATTATAATTTATTCCAATGTATTCTAATATTTCTATTGTGCTATATGTACAGACAGAAAAATTATTGGATTCTTCAATACCTTTTGTTGAAAGATTCCGACTTTTTGATGAGGCTGTTAACAATTACTTATATGACATCAAAAGAAAAGCAGATTTCAATTCTATTAATCTGGTATGTATTTTTTTATTACAATATAACATATTTATATTAAAATTTATAAAATTCATCTCTATTTATGTTTCAACTACATGTGTTTTTTCCAATACACAATAGTGGTCATTTTTATGGTCTTTTTTTCAACCTTACAAATCCAGAGCATATAATCATTGATAGCATAAGATACACCAAAAAAGTTGAAGATGTCTAATGGAGAGATTCCTAAACTTGTGGTAGTTTTTTCTTGCATAAATCTAAAAATTTTATTCTAATCAGAATTGTTTACTTAAAAAAACCACTATGTATAAGTATACAACGATTATACAAATGAATTCAAAAACATAAATATTCTGATTAGAATATAAAATATAATATTTATATTCTAATAAGATTTATTACTTAATATAGTTATAATTTTAGAAAGATAATTGTATTTTATTAATATACATTGCAGCAAATGTACTTTTCAAAATTTTTGGACAACAATCAACGGGATAAGGTTTCTTGGTTTAAATCTGTGAAGCCAAAGAAAATGAAAATGGCATGACAAATAAAAGCTAAGACAAATGATGATGGGATATTTTTAATGAGGCGCATGGAAAAGTACATGAGTGAGAAAGAAGAAAAGTGGGATGTGGAACTGATGAAGTATTGAATCGAGTAATGAACGTAGAATCAGAGTAACGAGAATTAAGAACACAGAGCGTAAATAAGATCTTGTTTCAACTCAATTATGCTTCACGATTACAAAGAGAGAATAGACAAGACAGACTCCCAAAACTCTTATCTAACTCTAAGTAACATTTCCTATTTATAGGAAAACAGTAAAGCATACAAAAAATTACAAAGGACTAAACTTTCTAGTTTCGACACCAAATGCCTTTGTAAAATAACATTACATTTCGACACCTTACAATACAATTTCGACCCTTACAATCTCCCCCTTTTGTAAGCAGTGTCGAAATCAGTTGATCAAAACTTGAGCAGCCCAGTGTAATGTTCTTCGAATTTAAGCATACCAATTCATCACCTTCTTTAGTTCCGCCTTATCTCCATCATTATTCTTCTTACAATTATTCATACGAACAATTAAGTTTGTATATTGAGCAGTTGTATATCTTTCAATTTCGCTTGTTTGGAAAAAGAACTTCGATGGTTTTCCCTTCTTATTCTTCCCAGCAAAAACTATACCAAATGACTTCAAACATATTTCACCATCCACATAATTCTTCATCTGAGCTTCACTCATTGCCTTGATTTTAGGAACAGTAACTTCCTTTTCCATTGAAGCAGCCAACTCAACGTCTGTCATAGCAAGACAATCATAGTAATTGTCTATGAAAAGTTTTATATGACCTAGACCCAACTTCAACACATCCTTGCTTGCGTTTTGGAGTTTTAGAAGCATCCAAATCCTTGAGTATATATGCAACTTGAATCAAATCATTCAAGTTCATCAAAGGAAAATCAGCAATGGAAAATTCGAAAGGTACTTTGTTTGCCCTCACCACATGATATCAAAAATTCTGAAGCATATTTTCGAACATTTCCCCTTTCGATATACCAAGTACTCGAACAATTTTCACCAGTGACCAAACCTCTTCTTGTTCCTTCCCCAAAACTGCATGGAATCTCAGCTTCATGTGAGAAAAATCATCCTTGTTCTCAAATCTGTTCACAACCTTATATTGAGCAGTAAGAAACATCATCTCATTGATAGGAAAATCAAGCTGATTCATATCAGAGTTCTCAATTGCATAACTCTTTCTTGGCTTTTTCTCGAATTCATACATTTCGTTGTATGCAACTCTGGCTTCAATGTTTTCATAACTGTGCAATTTTGTTGGATCACCTTTGTTTATTGTAGGTGGATCATTTGCACGAAGCGTCAAAATACTCTGAATATGACGCTGCTTCTCCATCTCCGCTTCAATTTCTGCCTTTCTTTCTTCTTTCGTCTTTTCAAGAAGAATTGTTTTCCCTTTGTCTGAAGTTTTTGTTGTTTCCTTGGGTTTCGAACTACTTCCCTCTTTAACAGTTGACCCCAATTACAATGCCTTTTGAGATTGGCCTTGTAGTAACAACAGTTGATGTTACGGGTTCAGCTTGCGAAATTATTGGTTTTGAACTGGGAATGTGAGTTGTAAAAACTTTGCCAACTACTTTTACTTCTTCATTTGTAATACCGGATGCACCTTCTCCTTTACCAACATTCTCCTTTTCTCCCCCTTGCACCCCTGTAATAACAGGTGGGGCATTCGTTGGTAAGATAGTGGCAAACTGAGACAAGGGAGACAACATCTTTTGAATTACAGCTTCAAAAATAACGAAACTTCTGATCAATAAACTCAGGAGTAAAAATGGATGAGGAACTAGGTTTCTAAACAATGCCCTTCAATTCTTCAAGCATAGAAGTAACTTTTTCAAAACTTGTAACAGCAGCAGTTGCTTTCTCATCAAACTTCTGATCAAAGGATTGATGAGTTTTAACAAATGTTGTAACAGCATCCGCGATAATATCAACTTTCTCAAGAAGAGAAGAGTATTTTGTATCCATCTCATGAAGCTCTTTGGATACATCAACCTTCAGTTCTTCAATCTTGTGATTGACATTCTCACGAACCATTTTAACATCTTGTATAAAAAGAACATGGCGTTCCTTTGCAATCAGTTTCAAATCTTTGAGCTCATCATTAAAAGTCGAAGATGCAGATTTGACTAGCAACTCGTTACATTTATCCATGGAATCAAGCTTTTCGAAAAGACGAGATTCATATTCATTAATCAACTTCTCCACTTTCTTGAACAACCGAACTTCGTGAGCTTTAAGCATCACATCAACTTCAATACTTGAAACGGAATTCTTACCCCCTGCATCTGCTTGGGATTGAAGTATTGAATTGAGCTTTTTTTTTTAGAATCTTGAACTGCTTCCCCGACATCAACATATGATCTGGGATATCTTCTTCTTCTGGATTAAATTCCAAATCAGCAAATGATCCTCCAAACCCTCCATCATCAGTATCATCATCGTTAAGAGGCTTAGGTGGGTCAGTGGATTGGGATGAAAAGAGAGAGAAGTGATGGGATGATCAATAACCATATCAAAAGTAGGAGAATGAGTGGTTATAGAAATAGAGGTGATTATTGGTGCTAAAGAAGTATTGGTTTGAACAGTGACAGGTTCAAGAATACCTTGAGAAACAACAAGATTTTCATCATTCGAAACTCCTTCACCCATATTGACATTTACATCCGTATTAGATACGTATGTAGAAATGCTTGAGGTTTGAACCTCCTCATAAAATGATTCAGTTAACAAAACCTCGGGTGGTATGTCCGAACTCTTCATAGGAATCGACACTTGTGTGGATTCACTAAAAATAGTAGATGTGTCTACTATCGAAGTTTCCACAGAGCTACTTACAATTCCTGTCATTTCGAAAGTTGACTTGGCAGGTGAGTTTTGTGGAGAGGAAGGATTACCAAGTGGAGAATCAGGAACAATTTCTTCGTCTTCATCAACCTGAAGAATTAACTTTCGCTTCTTTGGCTTCTTGGTCTTGCTAGAGATATGCTTGGCAACGTCCTCAGCCCTGCGCTTCTTTGATAATGGTGATACAGGCATAGGAACTTCACGAAGAACAACACCTTTCCTAGTAACACGGGGCTTACGAATTATTGATGGTGAAAAACTAGATGACCTCTCAGGGGATGTTCTGGGTCTATAAGACATCTTTTTGATACGCTTTAAGACACCAGACTTTGTGGGAATGAGCTGCTTGGTAGATTCATGTTGTGCAGTTTCCTGAGATTTTTCCGACTTCTTCGAAACTTTCACCACCTCTGCAGGCTGTTTCTTTGGTGACTTAGAAACAGTTGTGTCGTTATCATTTTTCTTAGGAGTTGTGACAGTCTTTGACTTCCGAGATTTCTTCGAAGATCCTTCATCAGGTTTTGACAACAAAAAATACCAAGGCCATCATTTGTGTTGATGGAAAGTAAATAAGCCTCCAATACAGGATTCGAAGGATCAGCCTTCTTGAGCATTCCATCAGGAATCCTAGCAACTGTGGGAAAAAACTTTTACATCATCTTCAATCGTCCTGGGATAGTGATACTTCAAGAATTCAGCTTTAGGTTCATCAGCCGGCACCAAAATACCTTCCTTTTCATAGACAAATTGGAGAATGAGACTCCAATACCTTGCACAGGAAATCCCATCAACCACATTCGTATTTTCAATGCTTTTCAAAAAATTCTTTCCACATCTGAGTTGCATAGTCAACAGGTAAATCATAATAAATACCAGCGACCATAGCATACACCTCCATACGCCCTTTATCTAAACCAACACTTCAACCGGTAAGACATCGAAGGTAAATCCCAAACAGAAAATTCCACAAACTTGGAAGACACGGTTTCTTAAAATCACTGATCTTTGTGAGAGTAGGTTGATAACCCATCTCATTGAACATGTGTAACACCTGTTCATTAGTGACTTTGTAGAAAGGTGGAGAATTAGGGATTTGAAGAATTTTGACAAATAACTTCTTGGTTAGACGAAACTTCTTCTCATTGACTAAATTGAAAGTCACAGTATCCATCGTCTTGCTGTAGGATGCAGTAGAACCCGCCATTGATAACCAGGACATTGGTACTGCAAATGCACTAAACATTCCAGTCGATAAAACAAAATGTTGTAAAGCCACAATTAGCATCTTGAGTTCTTCAGGGTAGACAAAAAGATCACCGTCAACTTGGTAATTTGTACTCTGAATCTTCATGAGGGGTTGTTGAGATGATGCATCGTCAGTGGTGTTTGATTGAAGAGCAGCCATGATTAGGGTTTTCTTTGAGAATGATTAAGAATCAAGAAAGAAATAGAGAACAAATCGTTTGGAGATTTTGTAGAACGTGTAAACTTGGAATGCTGATCCAGTTGCCCTTTATATATGTATCTCCTTTTGAATTTCAAATGGTGATAATAAAAGATCGTGACACGTGGCCCTTGAAAGTTGCACCAGTTACTATCATATACTCCATGTCAGAAAAAGTATAGGACACGATCTCCGAGAAATAAGAACAGTAACCAAACCGTCACATCATATAGTCTCTTCGTGAGTACAAGTGGATAAGGACAAAACCTTCGGAATTGAGGTTGGGCTCTTTCGTTTTAGGGTTTGAAAACGAAGTCATATGCCAGACTGTCGAAATCATCAGCCTGAGTTGGTAGTATTCAGAACCTCAAGGATTTCGTGAGTGCAGTGTGTCAAAGAAAAAGATAAGAAGCAAGAAAATAAAATTTTGGTTCTGTGATTTCGAAAAAATTATTTCGACATAAAGGCAGATAAATCCCGGGCAAAGATTACTTCACTATTCATCAAGAGAGATGACTAGTAGCTTGTGTGTTTTCCCATGAATTACAATCAAATACTTGTAGAGAAGTATCGAAGGGCCTCTTTTTTACAAGCTTCTTGGGTGGTTTGTGATTTCGTTACATATCAGCACTTAACATAAATGTGAGTAATTGTAACATAAATTACT